TTGTTGTGATTTGGCGCTATATAAATAAAATTGAATTGAATGCAGTTCATAATGAATAGATAACAGGTGTCAATAGTGGTGGTTCTCAACTTTGTCTGTGAAGCAAGCCTTTCTTCTTCAGGCTGGGTGTTTTGTGGGTCATGTGACTCTTGATCCCTCCAGTTATGATGAAGTGGTGATTGGAAATCTGTAGAGAACATCAAAATTTAACATTAAAATTAAACACTGTTGCAAAATTCGAATTAATGGTCCAGAAAATTGTTAATCAGGTGATTTAGTGCACAGGAGCAAAATTTTAATCCAAGTTGACTATTTTATCTACGAGTGCACTCTCGTTGCTGTTGTTTCTTTCTAAAGTGATTTTAAACATTATGTCGAAAAACACTTTAGATTTTTGGCAGCTCAAAGTGAAATTTGTCAAAATGGATTTTGATTGAATGGGTATTCTTGGTGTGCGTTCTGCACTCTAGTAGCTTCAATTCCAGTGTGTAAAACAGACTTGGAAGCAGATTAGAATCTTAGAATAGAATATAACACAAATAATAATAATATATCCTTTTCTACATCAGATAAACAATGCAGCGCTTCAGTCAGTGCTTTTGATAAATTTCACTGGCTCTTTAAATAAAATGTTGTATGTTTCTGTTCCAGATCAGAGGTTTGTGGTGAAAAAGACTCCAGCGCTTCTCCAGGAGATGATCAATGTGGGCTGTCAGCTTATTTTTATGGCCAACAGCAGAGGTTTGCATATATACTACACATTATTACAGCTCTTTGACTACTGTTATACATTTTTTTAGTTCTATTGGTGCTACCAACATCATGAAATCTTCGTATACTTTTCCATCCCTGGCAACTCTGCATTCAGTTACTGAGCATCCAAATCATTTCCACACTGCAAAGTCATCTTCCCCTGCCATTCTGTCTTCTGTTTGCTATTCAAGTTGCACATCAGAGATCAGCAGTGCACCCAGTGAGCATCACTCTCATTGTGTCACTACCTGCCA